GGTAATATGGATATTTTAATGATATTAATTCTTCTTATCCATGAACATGTTATATGCTTCCACTTATTTATATCTTCTTCAGCTTCTTTCCATTTCTAAACTGAGCATTTTAGACTAGTGATTTGAGAAACTCACGCAGAGTGGCTGGGTATGTGCATGTGTGCCAAGCATCTCCACAGGGACATGTTCTGGGAAACTGGGGGCCAGACGACTTCCGTTCTTGATGTTTGAGTGCAGGACACCCAAGCTCACAGCCCCTCCTTGGGAGTAAGCTACAGCCCTGCATCCCAGCAGTGGTTCCAGCCTCCCCATCATGGTGGAGCGCTGTGGGGCTGTGGTCTGGCCCTGCCCTCTGGAGTGGGCAGTGGGTAGTGCGTCTGTGCATGCCCACCTTTCCCTGGGAAGGTGAGGGGGATGAAAGCCATGGAGCAGGGGGTGAACAGAGAAGATAAAATTTGGCTGGACTTATGGGCACCCGGCTCCTGGGAAGAACCTGAGCCTGGAAAAGTTCCTCAGGGCTGAGGGCAGAGAGTGGACACAGAGAGAGTGGACCTCAGTGCTCTTGGGTTCATGGGACTTCTGGATGCAGCGTGACTGTGCTCTCAGGGGTGGCATGCTGAGCTCCCTGGGGTGAGTGAGCAGTGAGCATTCCCTTTTGTTGTCTGCATTTTCTGGCTTCTTTGGGCTATAACTGAAGTATCTTGGGCTGCACAGATTTAAAGTGTGTAGTCCAGTCAGTTTTGACATATGTGAACACCCATGAAAGCATCCCTGAAACCAAGGTCACAGACATGCCTGTCACACCCTGAGTTTCCTTGTCATTCCTTCCTGTACCTAGTTCCCAGCGACCTGTGATGTGCTCTGCCCTGCAGACTGGCTTGCATTTCCTAGATGTTTCTATAAATGGAATCACATGCCACTGTGTTGGGCTCCTTTGGCTGGGCAGAACGACTTTCAAGGGAGATTCCTGCACGGCTGGTGCATCAGAGCCCTGCCCAGACTGGAAGCTCCAGGTTCGTTTATTCACAGGCAGACAGAAACTTGGGCTGGCCCTGGTTGGAGGCCTTCACGACCGAAGCTGCTGTGGACGTTAGTGTGCAGGTCTTTGTGTGGCTGCGTGTTTCCATTTCTCTTGAATAAATACCCAGGAGTGGAACTGCTGAGTCATATAGCGGGTGTGCGTTTGACTTCTTAAGAAACCACCCAACAGTTTCCAAAGCGTTTGCACTGTTTACATCTTGGTGGCTGAGCGTGAGTGTCCTGGCTCCTCTGCCCTCTGTCCAGGCTGGACACTGGTCTCCTTAGCATAGCCCATTCTGGCTCTGTGGTTCTCAGCCTGCATTTTCCTAGTGACTGCTGGTGTTGAGAACCTTTCAGGTGCTTATTTGCCAACCACACATCTTCTCTGGTGAAGTGTCTGCCTAAATAATGTGCCTGTCTTATCAGATTATTTGTCTTCTCACTGAGTTGTAACACTTGATTCCATGTTCTGGATGTAAGCTCTTGTGAATTTTTTTTTTTCCTGTCTGTGGCTTCCTTTTTGATCTTCGTAAGGGTGACTTTGAAAAGACATTGTAAAATTTTCAGCGAAGATCAATTTATCAACTTTTTTCTTTTATGGTTTTGTGTGTGTGTTCTAAGAGTTGGGGGCCACTGTAAGGTCACTAAGATTTTCTTGTCAAGTTACACTGTAGGATGTAGCAGATTCAGGTCTATGACCCATTTTGTTAATTTGTGGGTATAGTGCGAGGTATGGGTTGATGTTCACTTGTTCCCATGGACATCCAGTGGGTCAGTACCATTTATTGAAAAGACTTTTCTTTCCCTGTTGAATTGCTTTAATAGTATCTTTGTCAAATGAATTGACCAAAAATATGTGGGTCTATTTCTAGACTATTTTGTACCATTGATCTATACTTATACCTTGTCTCTAATGCCAAATCATCTTGAATATTGTAGCTTTTGAGAAGGCTTCGAAGCAACAGGGTAAGTCCTCCAACTTCGTCCTTCTTTTCTGATAGGCTGCTCTGGGTCCTTTGCACTCACACACAGATTCAGAATCGCTTGTCCACTTCTGTAGAAGGGCCTGTGGGACTTCTACTTGCCACTGCAGTGAGTCTGTGGATGATATTCCGGGAGTGTTGCCACCGTGACAGTACCGCATCTCCAGTCTATGAATGTGGTATAACTTTTCCCGTTATTTAGGTCTTTTAAGGTTCTTCTCAGCAATATTTTATAGCTGCGATGTAGGTGTCTGGGATGTCTTTTGTTAGTCTTATAAGAATTTCATATTTTGGGTGCCACGAGGCTTCCTTCGTGACTCTCCTTCCATCCGAGCTGACTGCGCCCCTCCCGCCCCCGCCTGTGCTCCCGGTGCCGGCCCCTGGTCCCTGCGGCTGCCTGCTGAGTCTCTGCCCCGGGGAATGGGCGCCTCCTCCCTGTGTCCCTTTCGCCCTCCCTTCTCACCCACCTGGCTGTGGGACGACGGGCAGTTCCGCTCTGGCCCGGGGCTGGGACTGGGGTGGGGGAGCTGCATCACGGGGCAGCCAGGTGTTCTGAGAAAGTGTGAAAGAGCAGAGTGGTCCTTGTCAAGCTCTTCAGACACCCCTTTCTTCAGCAGGCGAGTGTCTGTCCCCCAGGTGTCCCGTGGGGGAGAGGTGGGAGAACAGTCACACTCGGCTCAGTCTCAGACACCTGCTCTCGGGGAGGCAGGTGGGCGACTGCTCCCCCAGGTCTGCGTGGAGGTAGGGTGTGACCCAGGGCCTCCTGCCCATTTCCCAGTGTCTCTCCTCTGACCCCACCTGTGCCATCGGTGCTGCCTTGTTTCTGGGGGGCTCTTTCACTGACGGAGTGGGCCTCTTCTCTGGCCAGCAAGTGCCAGTCTGCACTGGAGTCTGCTCAGTGTATCGCCAAGTCTCTTGCCTATTTAAGTTTTGGCTAGTGGTGTGAGTAAATCTGGTGTAAGGGCCTTATTAAGACAAAAAAAAGACAAAACACACATACACAGAAAGTAAAAAGATAACCAAAGATATAGGAGAAAAATTTTGAAAAGTATATATCTGATAAGGGACTTGTATCTAGAATATATAAAGAACTCCTATATCTCAACAATAAAAAGACAAATAGCCCATTTAAAAATTGGTAAAGAAACTGAATAGATATTTCTTCAAAGAAGATACAAAAATGGCCCAAAATTTCATGAAAAGGTACTTAACATTATTGGTCATTAAGAACATGCAAATCAAAGCACATTGAGATACCGCTTTGCACCAGTGAGACTGTCTCTTAAAGTAAGAGAAATTACAAGTGTGGGCAGAATGTGGAAGAACTGAGTCCCTCCTGCTGGCGATGCAAAGCGGGAACAGTTTGGCAGTTTTTCAAAAAGTTAAGCACAGAATCACGTGTCAACCCAGCTACTCCGCTGCTGGGCTTATGTCCAAGGGAACTGAGCCCACGCATCCACGAGAAAACTTGAATGTGGACGTCTGTGCAGGGTTTTCACAGTACCCACCAAGGGGAAGTGACTCAGGGGTACACGGGCTGGCGGGGGCATAGGCAAATGTGGTAAATCCATGTGGAGGAACATTATTCAGCCTTAAAAAGGAACAAAGTTCTGATAAATGCGACACCACGGGTAACTCTGAAAAACCTGATGTTCAGTGAATGAAGCCAGACACGAAAAATCCCACATTGTATGGTTCCATTTATGTGAAACGTCCCAAACAGGCAAATCCTTGAGATGGAGAGCAGATGGTGGTTTCCTGGGCTGGGAGCGGGGAGACGGAGAGCAACTGGGTATGGGTTTTATTTGGGGCTGATGACACGGTTTGGACCCTGATGGAGGTGGCGGTTACACAACACTGAGGATGTCGGCACGCCACCGAACTGCACACTTTAAGTCAGTTGGTTTCATATTATGTGAATTACCTCTCGGCCAAAAAAAGCAGTGACTGTGGGGCTGGGGCTGGAGGTGCTGCCGTGGTCCTTGTGGCCGAGGCCCTGAGACAGCACGGAGGCCGGGTCTGCAGACAGAGCAGGGAGCCTGCTGACGGCCTGCCTTCAGTGCACCTACAAGTGAACACGCAGTAGAAAACTAGGAACTTCTGGATGGAAGAGACCCAGGTGCCCAAAGGCAGCAGGAACCCGGGAGGGTCGGCCCGAAAGCCAGGGCCCCTCCCAGCAGCTCCGGTGCTCCAGCTGCGTTTAGGGGCAGCAGGTTTCCTGTGACAAGATCGAGGAAGGACACGTGGGAGAAGCTGTTCTGGGAGGCAGGAAATAGGGTCAGATGAAGGGGACTGTCATCCTGGAGAGCATGAGGGTCAGATGAGAGAGGAGGGGGTCTGGGGTCAGGGAGGGTGGGCAGGAGACACTCCCTTTGAGGGGAGAGCCGGTCTGTTGTGGGCAAGGGGAAAAAGCAGTCAGGGCCTTGCCCACCTGTATGGTGGCACAGCCCTTGGTGGCAGGCCTTGAGGGGTGGGCAGACAGCACCCATGGTGCCCAGGGCTCTCACCCACCTCCACCTCATTCCCTTCCAGCCCTGCTGTGTAGAGGGGAAGCTGAGGCCCAGAGGGGCCACTTGCACCCAGACTGCAGGACTAGGAATCCAGGTTCTAAGATGGCTGTGTGTTTAGACCCCGAGGAGTCACTGAAAGAGGCTGAACAGATGTGGCCTTGGGTCAGCTGTCCTCTCACTTCCAGGACAGTTAGCGCAGAGAGGTCAGGAGCTGTGCTAGAATCACACAGCTCGCACCAAGCCACATTCTCAGGCTACAGCTGTTCTTCATCTCTCGGTTCTTTCTCTTCCAATAATGAGAGGTAGCCACTGAGGTGCAGCTTCAGGTTCTTCGCATGCACGTGTTCAGGCATGGGTGAGTTTTGGTTTGTTCCAGCACTTCTTTCCCAGCAGCAGTTCCATTTTGAAACAGGGACAGGTTTCCTCCTGTGTGGCCGATGGCCTCTGGCGGAGTCACCCGAGTCTGACTGCGGTCATTTCCTCACAGGAAGCCTGCTGTGGGGGCTGAGAAGTCGAACCCTTCCAAGCGGCACCGAGACCGCCTCAATGCTGAGCTGGACCACCTTGCCAGCCTGCTGCCATTCCCACCAGACGTGGTCTCTAAGCTGGACAAACTCTCAGTCTTGCGTCTCAGCGTCAGTTACCTCAGGGTGAAGAGCTTCTTCCAAGGTAGGACTCTCACCTGTGTCCATCTGTGCCCAGCTGGGTCTCACCTGGGTTCTGCCCTCTCTGCCGGGGTGGTCCAGTTTGCGCCTCTTGTCCTGGGTAACCATTTAGAGGAGGACTTGCTGAGAGTTGATGAACCAGAGCAGCTCTGGTGGAAGCAACAGGGCCGGTTCTCCCCACCTTGGGCTCACTCGGTGCCTGGGCCCTGGGCCATCCTCACAACCCCAGGGCTCCACGGGACCGGGCGGATCTGCTTTGTGTCCTGCCGTTGACCAGTGTAAGGCTGGGTGGCCGGCTGCCATGTGATTGCTTTGGCTGTCCTGGGTGTCCGGCGTGCTCACCCACATCTGATGCTCTGGGTCATGCTATTTTCCATGAGGCCTGGCTCAGCTTCTGAGAAAGAAATGTTATTGCCACCGATTTTAAAACCTGTGACTGCCGCTCCCAGTGAATTAAGTGTGAGCTTTTTACAAAATCATCAACTTACGATGTGTCTTTGGGAGCAGGTAAGGTAGCTGTCTCAAGCGGGCATGTGTGGGCAACAGGGAGCAGTGGGGACGCAGCAAACTGTAGAGTTCCCGCTCTACCTGCCGTCAACTTTTGCACCTCCCCTTGCTGCTGAACAAAACGCCTTGGGCTGCAGTGAGAGTGGACAGTAGGGGAGGGCTGAGGCCTGGACGGTGTGAACCAAGTCTGTCTATGCTCCACACCAGTGGGAGCAGTTTGCACGGAGATGTGACTGGGGAGTGACAGCCTCTGCCCATTGCTAGCTTTCTCTGTTCCTCCAGGAGAGGGAGGGCGGCTTTCCTGAGGACTCAGCTCTGGCTGCCATGCACTTCAGCTGGACACCGATCCCTCCTCCATAGGGTCCTCTTGGCCTTCTCTCCTCTCACAGAGCAGGAGCCCCAAATCCTCTGGCCACCGCCCGGCCTCTGAGAGCCCCTGCTGTGTGTGCGAGGACTCTGCACAGGTGGTCTCTGTTCCCCCCCAGCCCTGCGTGAAGCCCAACTGTCTGTGTTGCTACTCTGCTCAGGGGCTGGTCCTGAGCCCCGTCGAGCTGTCCCATTGCGGAAAGGCCATCTGCCCCCACGGGAGGCCGAGCACATAAGGATGTGGCCGTGAATGTGCTGAGTGGGGCTTGGTCCTGTGTGCTGGCATCAGCCGTGCCAGGGCTCCACTGGAGCGTCCCAGCTCCCTGTGCATATCCATGCCACCTGAAGCCACCTGCCTGTGTCCACCCCACACTCACATACGTGGGCACCTTAGGCAGGGATGGTGGGCTGAGAGTTTGCAGCCTGGGCTTGGAGCTCACCCAGCACCCAGCCTACGTCAGCCTCCCCAGAAAACCACATGCTTTTCCTTTGGGTTAAGAGGCTGCTGTCCAGGGTCTCTCACCCAGACCCTGGTGGCAGGAGGAGCAAGCTCACAAAACATTTCCTGAAAAGTAGGTTTGGAGAACATCAGAGAACAGTGGGCACCATGGGGTAGGGGGAATCAGTGAGGGTCACCAGGAGGGTCAAGTGGGCTGGAGGGCTTCCTGGAGGAGGTGAGAGGGCCAGGTGCCCTCTGCAGGTGGCACTGAGGTGTTCCTGCCTTCCTGCTGTAGTCTGGGCCCCTTCCCCAGGGGCAGAGGGATTTTCTGTTCCTACTCCAGCTGCACTGGGGTTTTATCAGGCCCTGGGGTGATGGGCTTGCTGCTGCCCCCTCCCCCAGCCTACACCAGAACTCTCCCAGCCCCCTCTTCTCCCTGACTACCCCAAGGTCCCTACAGGAGCAGCTTCAGTGGGTGCAGGTCCCACCTCGAACCTTTATAACTGTCAGTGTTCTGGGTTCTCTCCCTGGGTTCTGGGCCCACATACAGAATCACGTCTGAGTTGCGTCTGAATTCTCCTTCCCAGTGTCCACAGTATCAGGCTTGTGTCCTGTCTGTCCCCAGAAGTACCTTATTTCCTTAGACTTTTTTGTTATTGATTGCCCTGGGACCTCGGGTCTCTGTTGAGCCCACGAAACTTGCAAACTTGCAGGTCACTCAGTGTTTTGTTGTGAGGCGAGGTGACTGGCTTTGGGCTTCTGTATTCCAATGGGAAGCTGAAAATGACATCCCCTCAGGTGGTCCTAAATCACACTCCTTTTAAAATTAAAAATGAATAGTCATCCAGCCAGTGGGGCCTCCGAGGAGGGTGGAGCGAGTGTCGTTCCAGGTTCTCCTGCTGGCTGCCAGGTCCTCCGCGCCTTTGAGGAGACGGGTGTGTGGCCGGCTTTCTGACTTGGAGTGGGGGCTCTGCACAGGCCTCTCACTGGCCCTCCTGTGTCCCTCCAGGGTAGAGGATCTGTCGTGGACATGTGCAACAGCTTACCGCAGGGGCGCTGCTGGTCTCCACATACCTTAAAGGCCCCTTGTGAAGGGTATTGGCTCTGGGGACGCTGGAGAGGGTGCCTGAATGGCATAAACACTCAGCATCGCCCCATGACCCTCAGAGGGGACATCATCAGCCCTGTTCCCAGGGCCTGGCCAGCTCTGGCGCCCGTGAATTGAACACACGAATGTGTTAGCAGCAGGTCTCTCAGTGCACATGTTCCAGGGGTTTTGTTCTACTTTCCAGGGGTTCCAGTTTCATACCGAAATGTATTAGTTTTATAAATAGGAAAAACTCAAATGTGTAAAGCAGCCAAGAAAAATCCCAGCAGCACTGCTGCCATCTTGATGTGGGGATGGTTTCTGGATAGGTAATTGTTGAAATTGTCACATAGTTCCTTGTGTAAAAGCGTCATAACCACACATTACACAGTCATGTATACAGCCGAGGATGAGCAGATGTTGCTCCTGCACGTGCTAACTGCGAGACAGTCCCCAGGGGGCGGGGTAGGCACCCACCAGGCAGCGAAGGAGACCTGCTACGGGAGCGCTGGAGGAGCGGAAGGAATTCTGTCTCATCAGGAAAAGCTACGTGACTTTGGGAACTGAGAAAGTAGAAGTTACTGCGCCGTGACTGCCCGGCCAGAAAGGCTGTGTTCACAGAGCTGAGAGTTCCTGGGGCAGTGACCGAGGAAGCCCTTCAGATGCAGAGCTCCTGCTGCAGGCACATCACGACCCTCTGCCTGGCCCGGTGCTGTGGGGGCCACAAGGCCATGTCCTTAGTGAGTCACCGCTGAGTGAAATAACAAAACTGTTTCCCCATCACCTTTCATGTTAAGGATTCTGCAGTTATACATTTTAGAGGAAATTCTAAACACTTTCCTGAATTCATTTCCACTGTGTAGTTAGCAAAGAGTCAAGCTATAAAAATTGGATCTTAATCTGTGCTTCCTGACTCAGAAGTGAGCGAATTAATTTCACTGCAGCTTCTATAAAAAGTCACCTTTGGAAGGACGTGCACTGGAAAGTCTCGGCCTCCTAACAAAGGCCTGCAAATTTCCAGGAATGTTTACTTCGGTGGTGAGTTTCATGAATTTTTAAAGGACAGTGGGATTATTTTATTTTATTTATTTAGTTTTGCATAAAGCAAAGGGCTGGAGCTTCCGAGTTATAAACCCTCTGCTTGTACCCAAGAGCGGAGTTCTCCGCTCATAAATCTGAGCATTCGCACGAGAGATGTTGTAGAAGGCGGGCAGAGGAGAAGCATGAAGGCCCCCTGAGGTGGGGCTGGAGCAGAGCTGGGTTCCTTCCTGGACCTCCTACCGTAGCATGTGCAGGTCCAAGAAGCTCCTCACTTAGGCTGAATGGCCCGTCAGGCCTCGGTGCCCGCTCGTCTGAGAGTCTCACTGGGTGTAAGGGACAGTACCGGGTGCGGAGGAGTAGCACTCTCAGAGGACAGAGGACCAATGGTCCATGGAGGCCTGGCACATAGACAGTGTCCCCCAGTGAGTAACAGATGTGTGCTCCTGACACCCTGGTGAGAAGTACAAGGGAGAGGGGACCAATCTCAGTAAATACAACTGAGATGGCAAAGATCACAAAACTCTTCACATGGTGCCCCCCACCCCAGTCTTCACTTACCCCGTGGCTGAAACTGGGCCTCCTGTCCCTTTGAGTCTTCATGCTGAGCCTCTGGCACCCAGTTCCACACATTCCCATCCCAGAGCTCTGCGTGGTTGGCCCTGGTCCCCACGGCACCTGAGCTGAATGGTCACCCCCACCAGGGATGGGCAGGTGCAGAAGTCCTAGAATCACGAGCATGTGTCCTGGGACCTCCACACAGGGGCCATGTTCGTTGGGTGTCAGTAGTGAACTGCTCCTTGAGACCATCAGTGATCTTATAACCCAGCACTGAAGAGTATACAATTATTAAGCTAAATTCTACCAGTTTGCAGCCTTCCCTGGAGTCATCCTTCCCTTGTGAGCCCTGTTATGGACTGAATATTTGTGTCCTCACGGATGGACATATTGAAGCCCTGACGCCCTGGGTGGCTCTCTTTGGAGATGGGGTCTCTAAGGAGGTAGTTAGGGTTTAATGAAGTCACAGGGGTGGGCCCCAATCTGATAGGACTGGTGTCCTTGCAAGAAGAGATGCCAGAACTCCCTCTGTCTCTGTCCCCCATGGGGCCGAGGAAAGGCCATGTGAGGACACAGCGAGAAGGCGGTGACTGCTGGTCAGGGGAAGAGCGGTCCCTGGAAACTGAGTCTATCGGCACCCTGGTCTCGGACTTCCAGCCTCCAAAATGTGTTTAAGCCAGCCCTGTGTGGCATCTTGTTAAAGCAGCCAGCGCATCTGAGACGACCCCGTGCTGCTGGGGGTGTGGGACAGCCTTTTCTCTTTCGAACATTCGGTGAGCAGCCCGTGCCCACAGGACAGATGTGGGTTGTTCCTGCCGGAACCCCTCCAGAACACAGCTTACCCTGAGGCCTGTCCAGTGAAGACACACTCGCTTTGAACCATTCAGGTCCGAGAACCAGTCATGCACCGAAATCATGGTGACCATTGTGTAGCCACCTGCCTCTCTGACCCTGGGCCCGGGGAGGTTTACCACACAGTTGCATGGAAAAGTCTCTCTTGATTATGTTA